AAGCCAAATCACACCGTCGTGTGATAAGGATGGATTTAATAAGTTGTGTAGACACCCCATTTTTGACCGCCCTTAAGACTTGGGCGCTAGTGATGGTTTACTTGGTGGTGAAATATATGCAGAGTAAAGGTTCGATTTCTTCGGCAAGAGGAGAGTCAAATCCCAACCTCACACCCCATTTTGGACCAAAGCTATTTTGAATGGTTTTTAGACCTTAAAACCCTCTCTTTCAAAATATTTTTGAAATAAAATTCCTACGATGTTCCAACGCTCGCATTTTGTTAAATGTTGCGCTTTTCGGTAAACCGAGCGAGGACAAAGCGGAATTGAATGAAAGAGAGGTGAAATCTTTGAAAAATCTTCCGCATATGTGTGAGTATAACAATGTAATCCAAAATCAAATATCCAATACTGTTCCAAATTTATTTTAAGATTTAAACAATGACCCAAAAGCAATATGAGACTGGAAGCCAGAATCACAAAAAAAGAGTAAGAAACATGGAAGAAAATTTCGTAGAAAAAAATTCAAAACCCTAACCTTATGAGTTGGGAGGAGGCAGGGTGCTTGTGGTGATCAGCGATGGTCGGTGTGGGAGGAGGCTGTGATGGTTGACGTGGGGGGACCGGAGGAAGCAGTGGCGAAGTTGTCAATACCTCACCAGATGTACTGTTTTTGCTGTCAGTACGGCGGTATGTATCGGTCTTGGTGCGTTTTGGTGTACCCTTTTGGAATTATCTCTATAAGTATTATATATATATCGAGTGTTCCTTTTCATAAGCCTTTCAAGTAAAATAAAGAAAACAACATTCTTAAATGTATTAGTTACTTGTCAACAATGTTTTATCAATTTTGACAAAATATAGCTTGTACGTTTGAAAAACATACTACCTTTTGTATCTAGTAGTTTGTAACTCTTGATACTATACAAAAAGTAATATTATCTGTGACATAATGTATGATTAGATTTTACAAAATATATCACTTTTTAGTACTCAACAATTTGAAATTTGTAGTTTTTAAACTTTACAACTACTTTTCTTCTTCTTCTTCTTCTTCTTCTCCTCTTTTTGAATAATATCCCACACAATTTGCAAAATACTAATAATCTTGCCAGCTCCATACCATTTTCTTATTGGTACGGTATGTACTACCTGTTATGGCCTGGAATGGTATTCACAACATTGCACAATGGTGATCAGAGGTGAGGTGCACTTATATTGGTTAACTATGGTTGATATATGGGCAGTGGCTGCGGCGTGGTGCTTGTTGTGGTTGGTGAAGCATGCTGAAAAACCGCTTAAATCGGGGTCGGGATCGGGGATCCCCGTCGGGCCGGTTTCAAATTGCCATACTTAGTGGGAGGTTGTTTTTATGGGAGTTATTTGGGATTTGCTATATAACTATATTTTTTTTTTTATTAAAAAATAGATTAAAAAATGTGTATATTTAGAATAGTTTTTTAATTTTTTACAAAAAGATACATAATAAAATATTATAGTAAAATTAAAATGATCTTTCTACCTTTGTTGACTTTTTAACTTTTCAATAATTGAATTTAAAGGGTAAAATAATAATTTTGCCCTCTAAGCTTCCCCCACAAGCTTTTCCCAAATAGTATGAACCTTTGACTTCTGTAATAACTTTTTGACAGTTTGACTTTTGTAAATTATCTCAAACCAAGTGAAAAGTGAATGATCGTCTGGTTTAGTTTTAAAATTATGATTTAAAAATAAAATTATATTTTAAATTTTGAATTTTTGAATCATGAGTTGAAAAGAGAAAATTTGTTTAGTTATAAATTTTGAAAATAATTTTAAAATAATTTGTAATTTTTTTAATTAATTGGTGTATAAAATGTGAGAGATGAAATGAGGGAGGAGTGAGAAAAATGATTGATTTACTGAATAATAATAATAGAAGAGAGGAGTTTTAAAAGTAATTTTGAGTTGTATTTTAAAAATATGTTTGATTAACATGTTTTATTCAAATCATGATTTAAAAACATAGTTAAATTTGAAAAGTAAACCAAACGCTACTGAAATATGTTGGGCATATTTGGTTTATTTCTCAAACTATATTTTTGAAAAAAAAAATTCAAAAATATGTTTGGTTGAAATTTTTTTTAAAAAAAAAATCTAAGTCACTTTTCTCTATTACAGATAAATAAATTATTTTTTCTCTCTCCTCTTTCTTTCTTAATCACTTTTTTTCTCACACTTATGCTCATTTGGGATGTGGGTTGGCTTTTTAACTTTTTAGTTTTTTGGCCTGTGACTAAAAAGTCTCGTTTGTGATAGATTTTTTAGTTTTTTGACTTTTGTAAGAAAAAAAAATGAAATGATTATTTGGACGTTGCATTTTGTCTTATTAGGTTAAAAAGTTTATTTTATCTTTTTGTGGCTATTTTAGTGAAAAAGCTCCCCCGTTTAACTTATGTCAAATGAGGGCTTATTCAACTACAAAAAAAAAAAAAAAAAATCAAATCATCCCAAACTCAAAAAATATTTTCAAAATATACAACCAAATAAATTTTTAAATTTTCTAAACTCTCTAAAAAATTATTTTGAAAATAATACCTCAAAATAGAAATTAAACAAGGTCATTATATTCCAAAAACACGCATGAACCATGCACAAAGGCATCTGCTTCATCTTCCTTAAAGAAAAATGTTTTGAACCTCTAATTTTTGAGCTCTAAAGTTAGCTCTAATGAGTTGGCAGTGGGCTCCACCTACAGTGATGTGATATTTTGGTCTTGGTTTGTTTTTATTTTATTTTTTTTGCTCATTGCCATATTATTAGTGCTTCATTAGAGCACCGAAATTAGCACTCTCAATCATTTTTGTTCCTTAAAATAGTTGGGTAAATTACAATTTGTTCCTTTTATGTTTGGTCGCTTTGTCACTTTAACCTTTAAAATTTATTTTTTTCTCACTTTGGCGCTTCATGTTTCAAAATTTTCTCAGTTTACTCTTAAAGTTAATTTCTGTTAAAAATTAGATAGAAAATGACATATTAGCGATCACATAGTATAAAAATATTTTATTATATATAACTCATATCTCTAACATAAATATTAGCGATCACATAGTATAAAAATATTTTATTATATATAACTCATATCTCTAACATAAAATTTAAATTCTAATATAATAATATATTTTTTATGTTATGTGATAGTTATTATGATTTTTTTTATTTTATTTTTTTTGTAATTTTGAATAGAAATTAGCTTTATGAGTAAATTAGAAAAAAAACGTGCAACATAAAGGGCTAAAGTGGAAAAAAAAATTAAGGACCAAAGTGGATAAGTGGTCAAACATAAAGGGACAAAGTGTAATTTATCCAAAATAGTTAGTATAATTAACCTATCGAAGAGAATAAAATAGAAATAGACAAAATATAATAACTAACGTGTCTCTTTTAAAGCTCATTAGAAATGAGTCTGGATTCTCTGTCATGGTTTCCTGCCGTGGGTTCTTGCCATGTCCCAAAATGACGTCATTTTGAGGCAATTTTTTTTAAAAAAACACAAAAAAAATAAAAAAAATTGAGAAGAAGAAAGACAAAAAACATCGCCGGAGATCCCGTCGTCACCCACTCTCCAGCAAACTCGCCATCCCTTTTCTACTCCTTCCCTTTCCATACCCACCGGCATGCAACCATCTCGCTGCTGCAATCCATCTACGCTCCTTCTTCTTCCTCTTCCAGCTCCACCGCTGTAAGCCCCTTTCACTCATGCGATCTCGTCACTAACACCCAGCCACTATCATTGGTCACCATTTCACAGTTGCTCCACCGTAAGGCTCTTCTCTCTCGATTTCCCTTCGCCGCTACAAACCCTAGATCTAGGGTTTGAGTCTGAAAATCCCATCAATCATCCATTCAATTCCAATCTATACTATATATATAATCAAATGTAGTGGTTTTGTCAAAAATCTGTAAATATTCATTCCTAAATTCTCATAATTTTAAAATCATCTCTTTCCTACGTGGCAACCCTTTTTGATTGTCTTTCGTGTTTTCTATTTTCCTCCATTTTCTATTTGTTTGATTAATTAAAATGAAAATTAATTTCATGGCTTATGGATAAATATTTGAATTTCAAAATTCCTCCATATAGATAAACATATAAAAACTGATAAATAATTTATGAAAATTAATTTCATAGTCTACAGATAAACATAAAGATAAAAATTAAATAATTAATTTCATAACTTATAGATAATTTAAAATTTCTTCCCATAAATAAACATATAAAAATTGATAAATAATTTATAAAAATTAATTTCATGGCCTACTGATAAAAATAAAGGTTAAAAAATTGATTTTAAAAAAAAATTACTCATATTTTTTGCCCTTCACTTTGTACTTTAATTAATTTCATTATAAATAAATATATAAAAAAATCATAAATAATTTATGGAAATTTATTTCATGACATTTAGATAAAGATAAAAATTTTAAAAATTATTTGAAAAATAATAATTTCATGACTTATAGATAAATAAACATATAAGAATTGATAAATAATTTATAAAAATTAATTCCATGGTCTACAGATAAAGATCAAGATTAACTAATTGATTTACAAAAAAAAAATTAAAATAATAAAATTTAGATAAATATATGATTTGTTAATCCATATCTATCAAAAACATATCTATCTAAATCTTTACTTTGGTTTACTTATATTTTTTTTCTCCTTTTATCACATATTATCTTTTTTTATTTTGAATTTTTTATCTTGTGAAATACTCTTATCTATAACTTCTTATCTCCTCTTAACCTACCCCTCATAATTTTTATTATTTGTTATTATCTACCAAGTGATAAAGATATACATAAAAAAAGAATGATTGGCTATGAATAAGAAGAGTATTAATAATTAAATAATGAAAGCTGTATGGGAGAAGGCAATACAAAAATCTCACAAAATTATTTTCCGTCACTATATTAATTTTGTTTTGTTTTGTTTTTTTCTTCTTTTTTTTCATTACAATTTTGCAAAATCCTAGATCTGATTTTGCCGGAGCCGGAGTCGGAGTCGGAGCCAAAGCCGAGCTTCATCCACCGCTGCTGCAACTTCTTGAGGCGGAGACAGGTGTTGTGGCAAGCATCAATAACATATCTGAGGAATTCATGAGCGTCCTCTTGTCTTCCGAATCGAAAATGCTCAGCGAAAATTCTCAAACAACTGTTCATCTTGGCAGGGGTGTCTAGGGTTAGATCAACACTCAAAGATCTGGCAATTCGCTTCTCTAGTATACAAAACGGACACTCCCGTATCTCGGCCAAAGCCGAATCACCTGCAGAGAGATGGAATGGAAACCATTAAAAAAAATTTAAAAACAAAATTGAATTTAGAGAAAGGAAATTGGAACATACAGGAGGAGGAGTGGAGGGAATTGAGGCAGAAAGAGGCGAGGGGAGGGGTGTAGGTGAGGCACTGGAGGACGGAGTTGAGGTAGCAGGAGTTGCCCAGGTTTTTTAAACCTAGGGGAGGACCGGACTTGCGCTTGTGATGGAGGAGGTTCGGTTGCCACTGCCAACTCATTTGCAAGGCCATTAACGACCTTCTTCCCAAGATGAAGATGAAGATGGTGATGATTCCGACGAGGCATCAGCAACATTGGATCGCATCCTCTCTCTCTCTCTCTCTATCTCTCTTTGTTCTTCATCTTTTCTCTCTCAAGGGTTCTGTTTCCACACGAACCG